AAAGACCTGAGCTGAGATCAAGAGTTGGACACTTAGCTGACTGTGCCACCCAGGTGCCCCTGCCTATATTTTAAAAGGAGATTAAAAAAACTATCAAGGGGAGCCCAGCGATTTTAGACCAACACTGGAAAAGACCTGGGCTAATTATCAAGATTATTACCTGATTATTACCAGGTGTGTCTGTCTCTGTGGCCCACAATGGCTTTAAATCCTCCCTGGCATTTAGCAGAACACTACTGTCTCTGCCATGAATGGGGAGTTGACTTTTGCGAGGTCATAGGACCTGCTGTCAAAGGTGGAGTGAGGACCTCAGAGCGGGAGGCCAACAGTGATTCTCAGGTGTCTCTGACCAGATCCTAGCATCATGACTACCTAGCTGATGTGCAAAAGAAGCCCCCAAGGAATGACATGGCTACTTTGAGGAGGCCCCACTGAGGACCACCAGGAGAAAATGCTTGCCTGGCAGAAAGAAAACACTGGATACGGCATATAATGAACGTGAATCCTAGGGGTGCCCAAAGTACACCTGAGACCACTGTGAGGGACAGCCTTCTCAGGTGACAAGCTGCTTCACGCCATAAGCGTAGGCCCTGCTTCTACAGACTGCTCAGCCTATTTCCGATGTGCAGATGGGGCTGGTCTAAGTTCCTGATGATATCTATTTAAGGCAACTCTTTAGCTAACTCCATGGAAACGAAGAGGAGTTGGTCCTACGACACCACGGGTCTGTTTGTCCCTATGTGATCTCACCACGCTGGGGTGAAGAGTCCCTAGTCAAATGTGCAAGTGTGCGGGCACACTTGGGTGAGCCCCCTGCTTGGTTAGCAGATATCTGCAGATACATGGCTGCAGTTATTCGAGTAAAAGGAGTTCCCAGACTGAGAAGGAAGCAAAGCACTTATGCAGAAACATCAGTGGGAACATTTCAACTAGTGCTGTTTGTGTCTGTGTTTATTTTTCCCCTTATTCCCCTTGTTCTTCCTCCAGTTTCAAGTTCTTCAAAGGGTCCACTGTTAACAGCATCCTTAGCGTGAACCCCTCCCATCCAAAGTCTGAACCCTCACGGTTAGTCCCCATAGTAACCAGAGGTGTTGTGACTTCGGTCACAGGATTGCCTAGTGCTATTAAGTTGCCACAGGGCAAGGTTTCATGTTTATTGCTACCTCAAACGGGTCTACATGGGATGAGAGGTCACCTATGTCTGTTTACTTTTCAGCTCAGGGTTGTGTTTGCTGGAGGGCTGAGGCAGCGCGATGGTGAAATGAACCAGGCAGCACATGGGAATAAGACAGGGGTAATTCAATGCGGGACAGAAGGAGCAAGGGTTCAAGGTAGTCTACTATCTTTCCAAATGATGCAGTCCAGGGCTGGGTGCAGTCAATTATTGAAGACCTACTGAGTGAATACTCTTCTAAACCTCTGAGAAGTGCTTGTTGAGGATGACATTGAATTGTTCTCTTTATACCTGTTTCTAATCCCCCAGTTTTAACTACCCAAACCACAGGAGGTAAAGATGTGCAAGGGCCACAGGCTAAATGTCACTGAATTTTCTCTCAGTTTCCAATCTTCTATCTTAAAAGCAAATTCCGTAACAAGAAGGGTTACTGCTACGACCCCATGAAAGTAATGTGTTCTGTGGAAATATCCTTTATATCTTGATGTCAAAACTAATAGACACCATGCAAATAGATCGTAAGTAAACTGAATATTAAATTATGTAAATAAGAGGCTCATGCCACCATTCTCTTTAACCCTCAACTGACTGGTAGCGTCTTTACCACCAAACACAGTCCAGAGGGAATCGTCAGAGGGAACTGGAGCCTGAGCTGCACCAGGCAAAGGGATACGCACCGAGTAATACACATCCGTCATCTGGAGGAGGTTTTTGGTACTTCCATTCTCATGCATTTCAATAGCTTCTCGGCCCCAGTCTTGTGAGCGAGGGTTCTTGGGGTACTCAGCATAGGGAGACATTTGGAAATCCCCACTTTTGAAGATGAGTTTGCTTATGTCATTTTTACTCTTTCTGTGGAATGAAAAACATTTGGAAATTTAAATGAATAAGTTCTGTAAAGAAGTGATATCTGTGAAAGCACGTTCTATTAGTTTAGAAGGTAAATTAGACTGAAAGCTACCATTATATTCTTCTGTAGATGTCCACTGAAAAATGGCATTATTATTATTTTTAGTGTTTGCCTAAAACAAGTGAAAATGCAATTAGATGCAAAAAAAAAAAATGCAAAACAAAAAAGTCTTCCAACTCGAAAGGACAGGTTACCAGGGACAGAGAGGACAAACACAGCTGCAGCGAGGCAGACAGTCTCTTCTGGGGACAGAGGTTGCTGCCTCACGGTGGAGCCAGGGAAATCAGGGTCATAAATTCCCAGAATGCTGGCACCAAAGGGCCTTTAGGATTCTTCAGTCCAGTGGTTCCAAACCTGCCTGAGCACGAGAATGTACATGGAAGCTTCTAGATCACACCAAGATTTACTAAAAAGAGGAGCTCTGGGGATGAGACAGTTCTGGCTTTGCAAAGAGATGAGACTTGTTCCCCAGGTCACATTTTGCTACTAGCAAAGTGGGACTAGAGTTCAGGCCTCCCGCTTCACCAGCCAGTGCCCTTTTACCACATGAGACTACTTCACAGACCATAAAAACAGGATATTTCACCTGCAAAAATGCCCACCTGTTTATAGTTCCCACACATATTCTCCTTTCAGCAGGTTAGGGAAAGCCCAGGATAAGTTCCCTACCGGTGAGGGTTCACTAGCTAGAAATGGTTGAAATATGTGTGATTCGGGGTGCCTGGGTGGCTCAGTTGCTTAAGTGTCAGACTCTTGGTTTCGGCTTAGGTCATGATCTCACAGTTCATGGGATCAAGCCCCGCATCAGGCTCTGTGCTGACAGTACAGAACCTGCTTGGGATCTTCTCTCCCTCTCTCTCTGCCCCTCCCCTTCTCTCTTTCTCTCAAAATAAATAGGGGCGCCTGGGTGGCGCAGTCGGTTAAGCGTCCGACTTCAGCCAGGTCACGATCTCGCGGTCCGTGAGTTCGAGCCCCGCGTCGGGCTCTGGGCTGATGGCTCAGAGCCTGGAGCCTGTTTCCGATTCTGTGTCTCCCTCTCTCTCTGCCCCTCCCCCGTTCATGCTCTGTCTCTCTCTGTCCCAAAAATAAATAAACGTTGAAAAAAAAATAAAAAATAAAAAATAAATAAATAAATAAATAAACGTT